CAAACTAATCCTCTTCTGACACGAAACTGTACTAAACTAATGTTGAAAAGAATTTGTCTATATATTTTTGTCCTTCATAGTTCCAGTTTTTTTCAATTAATTTTTTATTGAAGGGAGTCTAATGAATTTATTTATGTATAAGTGAGTATTAATAATAAAAATAATAATAATAATAATAATAATAATCTATATTCCAAATTGTACAATGACATTACAAAATGAAATGTTGCGTCACTGTCACCATAACTATAGTAGTTTACCCGAGACCTTTTTTTTGTGTTACATGGTAATTTATCTTAAAACAGCTACTATCTTATACTATTACAACTCCCATAGAACTCATCTATTGTATTAGGCTCTGACTGTATTAGAAATTGCTTAATAGTCTTTTTGAATTTATGTAAACTGTTTATGTTTTTAATTTCATTTGGTAGATTGTTAAAAAATTTTAAACACATGTAAATAGGGCTTTTTTCTGTGGAGGATAATCTGTGTATTGGATAAGTAACATTGACTGTTCGAGTATCATAAACAGTTTGCACCTCAAGCTCAAATAAATTTTTATTTTTGAAATAAAATACAAGACACTCATACACATAGATGGCATACACAGTCATGATTTTTTCAGTTTTAAACACCCCCCTGCAAGTTTCATTGAAATTTAGTCCCTTTAGCAGACGTACTGCTCTTTTTTTAACAACAAAAATTTTTTGAATAAACCTATTGCGTCCCCAAAAAATAATCCCATACTTTAGAACACTTTCAAAATTAGCATGGTACAATATTTTCATACTCGTATTATTTAGATATGTTGATATCACCCTAAAACCATAGCAAATGGAATTGAGCCTCTTCAGCAGTTCGAATACATGTGTTGTCCAATCTAAAAATTCATCAATATAGATGCCTAAGAATTTTACACTTTCACTCAACTGCAGTTGATGATCATCTATATCGATATATTGTGGCTTAACGACTTTACTCTGCTTAGTTCTAAATAATGTTGCATCAGTTTTGGATTTATTCAGCACTAGTTTGTTCTCAGTAAAACCATGTATTCACACTTCTGAATAAGAGATTCCCATTAGCAGTTAGGTCCTCTACACTTGTCCCACCCAACACTAAATTTGTGTCATTAGCATAGCAGATAATTTTATCCTTGCTATGATCATCACTAGTAACAAAACAGAGATCGTTAAAAAAACTACAAACAAAATGGGCCCAAGTATACTACCCTGTGCTATGCCGGTTGAAGTCAACTCAATGTTTGACTTGACTTGATTATGCTATAACGAATTATGTATACAGGTTCGTATATTAATAAAACAAGTTAAAAAAGAAATACAGTGCAATATATATATATATATATATATATATATATATATATATGTTTCATCTTCTTCAGACTCATTGCACAGGCTGATTTCAATTCGTAAAAGAAGATGAGACCAGCTTCTAACAAATGAAATACTTTTCATCCATTTTTAAATTGTAGCATCTTTTTTTGACTAGCTGAAGAATGAAAAAAACTCCATATTCCCATGTATGTGGTGAAGTGATCCCCTTTGTGAGGATGAACATGAGACTTTCATGGGCTTATAGCTACTAACCAAATGAACACTTTTCATCCATTTTTAGTTGTACCAACTTTTCCAACTGGGTGACAAATTTAAACAGATTTAAAATATTATTTGCAGTATGGGTGGAACCACTATTACAATGCTGCAATATGTTGTTAAAATCTAATACAAATATGATACAATTATCAAAAAGTTTGTAATTAATATAAAAAACGGCTGCTGAAAATTGGCTGCTAACTTCTCACTGGTCCTCTATGTTTGACATGCTTTGTAGATGCTTATTTGAAAGAATGTTATTGGCAGTACAACAAGTAATCTTAACTAGTAGGCTATCATAACAAATTATTAAGTTTTTATGTCAAACTCCTTGGATGTTATGTGTTTTTTGTTCATGTATGACAAAAATTAGACAGGATCCTGTTGATCAAAGGGAAAGAGAAATAATAAAATGTCTGCCTGAAGGTTATGGGCCCACTGAAATATTGTGACAACTGTTGGAGGCTGAGGAGTTCTTTATGATATATAGTCAAATGCTGTTATTGATATTTTGAGTGTGAAAGGACATTGTGTGAAAATGTCAGTAGGCCACCTGTTATGGTAATGAATGATTACATTAAAAAAAAGCACAGAAATCTATTAGTCAGACCTAAACTCAGAATTTTGAGATGCTTTTAAAGAGAAATGCTGAGGGAAGTTAACAAGTAGCATATATGTTGCTTCAGCCATACCTCCTCCATAGCTATGGCTACCCTACATTAAGCAGGTACATTAGCTACTGTATTCGACTAATCTAGCCTTCAGTACTTACAGACTATGTCCAAAATTGAACAAACATTCAAGAGAAAAATGTGTGAGCTACCAACAGGCAACTGCTGTGGAGGACTAGTTTTTAGTATCAGGACAGGGGCCTCTTGAAATGCTGGGGCACCAATTGAATATAAAATATAAATTAAATGTAGCTTTAATGTAAGTGGTATGAAGCATCTGGATCAAGCCTGATATGAAATTGAGGATTCTTAGGCTAAAGAAACCTATATTTTTTCTAACTCCATGCTTATATCCTTAATGATTCATTTTATATGATTAATGATTTGTAATTCATTGAATTCAAATGTATGACTAGCCTCAATTGTATACTTAGCAAGAAAAAATTAATTTTCTACTATTGTAATTATGCCTTTTTTACTTGACCTTCTAGATATTTCTAGCTTCATTATGTTTCTCATTAGAATTTCTCAAAACAATTTAGGTAACTGTTAGGAGAACTATTATGCAAGAGTTTTAAGAAAGATGAATAAATACTCAAAAGCGATACTGAAGTACTGATTTAAAAAAATGCAACCAAACATCAAAAATAATATTTCTAACTATTATATTAACATTAATCCTAATTAAAGCCCTGGAAATTCACTGAAAACTCATCTGATCAGTTGCCAAAAAGCACAAAACAACTGTCCACAGTTGCTCATTTATAGTTGGACAGATGGAAGCTATAGAACCTGTTTTTTTTCTCAATTTGATACTTGAGTTTCTAAAATAAGATGCGCTCATCATACATATATTATGAATCTACATTCTAGAATCTCCTGAACAAATCCCAGCCTAATGTTTGAAATATATAAATAAAAATTCTGGTAAACAATAACTTCAATATGTCCTTGAAAATTTTAGCCTAATAGCTATCTATATTTATTGAACAAATATTTACCAAAGTGAAGTAAGCTTACCCAAAAGTCTACGACTGAGTTGCAGTATGGTAATGAGGGTATTGTAACACATATTCCACATGAAACTAAAAACTGTCTTGACTAAACCCTTGATGCCACTTCCAGAACCATCAGTTGGGGGTGTGTAGTAGATGTGTTGCCCCAAATGGTCACTGACCACTGCAGGGGGTCTAGATTCGGAGGCATATACAGATGGGCGTCCTTCTTTTATGTTCAGTTGCTCTTGAACAGCTACCTCTAGGTTCCATTGATGTCTTTGTAGCACATCTCGACATATCGTGATGTCTTCGATGCCCGTTAAGTCCTGGAATTGCAATACTTTCTCTGTTTGGTCAGAGGTTAGGCCAAGGCCCCCGTTTTCACCCAGATAGTCCATTTTGCCTGATTTTTATTTCCTAAATTTAAAGCTTGATGTAGCTGGTTGATTACATTAATGCAGTCCAAGGAATTTACAATTTTATATCCATTTTTCACAACAAAACAACGAACTTCACTTCGCTGACATTCATTTCGGAAATCTGTCAAATCACCAAATCACAAAAGAAAAGTACACACGATATCACAAGAATTCGGACAAATCATTTGTCAGAAAACGTCAGTGAAAATCGTAGTTACAGTTTTCTTTTTGCGTTGAGCATTACAGTTTCTTGCATGATGCGCAGATGGCAGCAACATTGTTTCAATAGCGACATCTAATATTGGTATTATTGTCTGTTGAAACATGAAAATTGTACACATCCCTGTATTCAATTTTAATGTAGTCCAACAAAACAATAAGAGATGGTAGCAATAACAATTCTATTAGTAATCAAATTCAAGCGGATAACCAAATGGAAATGGTATTTACCATTTTGGGTTGGTATTTACCGATCCGTTCAAGCGAGTGTAGTTATCAGTTTGGTTATAAGATCCGTGACGTCACGAATCAGCTGTTATATGTCATAGTTATCACCGCAAAATTGTGGTATTTACCCAACTCAAGAGTAGTTTTATATTTCTGGTTATTATTTGAAATGTGACAAGTTAGAATTCTGCCGGGTATTGGATATTGTTATTGTACTTCAGCTTCATTTTTGAGAAAATTGATACAGGCTGACTTCAGTTTTACCATAAAGTGGAGCACCTTATTAGTTATACTCATTTCGGTTGTTGGGGACACTTTAAATGTAGTTCCTATGCTTAACAAAGTATCCTGTGTAGCCATATACCACAAGAATATTAAAATATGGCCATATAAACTCACTAGATGATATCCACCTGTATACGGTTTTGCTAATTTCTTTTTTCATCATTTCTGCTGAATCAATAAATGTTTTCTTTGACATGCGGAAAAATTTAGAGAATTGAAAGTTATCATAGCTACAAAGCCATGGTTCCATCATTAAAAAAAAATCTGCAAAAAACATTTCTCTCATGAATATTATGAAAGGTTTCTTATTTAAACTTTCCATATACAGTTGTAGACGAAAAAGCACCGATTATTAAGTGATAATAAAAATAATCAGAGATTATATACGCGCTTTTCTAAAATAAACAATTTGCAACAAAACCGCGGTTAAAACCAACGCGTTCAAGCGATTCGCGTAACTGACGTCATCAACCCGTGTGTCATCTTGAGCCATATTATAACCGCAGCACATAACACAGAAATTTTGGTTATTCGCTTGGATTTGATTAGTGTCCTCTATGGTACGTCAAAAATTCATATGTCAAGAAACCGTCAAGGGTCGCGGTCCGTAAGTCACTATATCCGCTCAAGGACATGAATACGTTGGCGGCTTGGTCCGATTGGTTTGCGGTGTGTTTGCCCGTGTGGACGCTACGACTTTCGGACCGCTAGATTTGCAAGTGCTTGTTTACAAACAAAAAAGTTTTAACCGCAATTGAAAAAATTTGGTACTTTTGTTTATTGTATTTAGTGAAAATGAACGAAAATCGTGCTTTTGCCATTGTTAGTGCACTCCAGGAAACACTAGATTCATCGTCAGATGATGAGGAACTCATCAGTTTAATTTTCTCGTCATCCTCTAGTGAAGAAACCGATGGAGTTGAAGTATATGCGGTACAGAGAAGAGGACCGATGCAAAAGAGGCCTCGCATTGAAGAGTTTGTAGAACGCACAGTGCCGGGTTTCTCCTCAGAAGAATTTAAATCGCATTTTAGAATGCTGCCAGAAACTTTCGAATTTGTTTTGGGACATGTTGGACCATTGTTAAGCACAGCTGGGCCTAGTTCTCGACCACAAACTCCTGCAAAGACTCAACTGCTACTGGTATTTTGGTTAATGGCAACTCCCGATTCATATAGGTCTGCTTGCACAAAGTTTAATGTAGGGAAAGCAACCTGTGTACGTTCAATGCGAAGAGTTTGTCGAGCTCTACATACCTTAGCTCCTAGATTCATAAGGTGGCCTGAGGGACAACGAGCTCAAGAAGTGATAGGAGAATTTGTACGTGCTAGTGCTTTCCCTGGAGTTATTGGTGCAATAGATGGGACTCACATTGAAATTAATAAACCCAAAGATGATGAACATAATGCATATTGCAATAGAAAGGGATATCCATCAGTCCCAGTGCAAAGCATTTGTACTTACAAGCTAGTATTCACTAGTGTATATGCTGGACATGCTGGGTCAGTTCATGATGCCCGTGTATTTAGCTTATCAAGAATACCTGATTATATGGCAGACCCAGCACGATACTTTCCAAATGATAGCCACCTTGTTATCGACTCGGCTTATCCAATCCATCCCTGTATAATGGTGCCTTATAAGGACAATGGTCACTTGACATCACTACAGAAAAACTATAATTTTTGTCTATCATCTGCCAGAACATCGATTGAGAGAGCATTTGGTGTGTGGAAAAATCGCTGGAGGAGAATTCTTGTCAGACTTCCCATGGTCACGATGGAACAAATACCTGAATACCTATTAACAGTTGCAGTATTGCATAATATTTGCATTCAAAGAGATGACTTATTTGTTCTTAGTGAACCACAAATTATAAATGATACCCCTCTTGTCCAGCAAAGAGACATGCTAATAGATGATGCCTCAAGGAGAGCTGCAGGTAGTGCAAAGAGAGACCGCATCATGAATGAACTTTCTGTTAGAAACATTCAGTAAATGTGATACTATTTTTGTAATACAGTCTGATTGGAAAATATTTCAGTGTATTTGTTTTAAAAATGACATTGGTTTAAATAATTTTTTTTAGGAAATGACACATCAAAACTTTTAAAATTATATTCATAATTCAACAGAACAGAATTCAACGAATATTATCAAAACAAACAAAAAAAAAATAAAAATATGCAAAAATTGACCAAACCCGAATACACGAAGCCTAGTTTTCATCTTCAAATAATTTACGCCCTGCCAAAGCTTCGCCTATCTTCTTTAGAGCATCCATTTTTTCTTTATGGTGCCTTTCCTTCATTTCCATCAATTCCTGCAGTGCCTGCATACGTTTTTCTTCTCTGGCTCTACTTCGATCCTCTTTCTCTTTCCGTAATTTTAATTTTTCTAGGGCAGTGACATCTGTTTTCTTCATTTTTTTGGCAATGGGTTCTGGCTGAATGGGGCCCCTTTCGTCAGCAGTGGCCTTGGAATTGGCCCATGCGCAGCGACCAAATAATTCTTCCATCCGCTCTAGGTACGGCCATCTAATAGTGCCACTACCAGATCTACCCTTCCTCACCAATATTATTTTGTATCGGTTTTTGATGCCATTTAGCTTTGACTGAAGTTGACTATGGGAAAGGGTAGATCCAGTTAGCTTTTTAATATCTTCTGCAATTTGTAACCACAATGACTTATGGGTTTTCTCCCCCGCATCAAATTGTGGCCTATACTCTTCGAATTTAGACAATAGCAGAAAAACCATTTGTGTAGGTCACAAAAACTTATCTTCCTCATCTGCCTTTTCTACTCCAGGTGGAGCAGGACCACTGATAGCTTCATCTTCTTCTTCAAGTGGATGAGGAAATGCAGGGGGAAGAGTAGAACAAGGAATAGGTGCAGCGGTCGGCGTACAAGCTGATGCGCTCTGGTCTGGATGGCTTTTGTTTTTTTCCTCTATAACATGGTGGTACAGACGATTTAATAGAGCCTCATCTAATATAAAGACAAAGAATAACTATTATTAATTGGCCAAGACTTGAAAATATAAATGAACGCAATTGAGTCTTTGCAAGTCTCTATATTTCATCAGCAAGCTGATTCTATTTACCTCCGGAATAGATTTTCGCGGCATCAGCTGCACTCACTATCAATGATAGCAACTCTTGTCCTTCAGCCTGCACCGGAATTTCAACTTCAGCCATAATATACACAAAAGGTATAAATAATTATTTTATTCCAAAATTTGTTCCCGCCTAATTGCTCGGTCGTGGTAATAAACGCGCATTGCGCGGTCCGATAGCCGCGAACAGCGCAAGCGCTTAACCCGCTCATGCCTTGCAGCATGTACGCCGTGAACGTCTCGTAAACGCTATCCGTGACGCAATAGGTGACGTCACGCGCTCATACCAATGTGCTCACGGAGGCTTTCGGACCGGCCTTGAGTGCGCTGTCAACGGTGTGAACGACTATCGGACCGCGGACAAGTGCTGAGACTGCTGAGACGCCAGCTGTCAAAATATAAACAAAACCCTGATGAAATTGAAATTAACAACCCAAAAGGGGTGATTTTGAAGGGTTGTTGTGTGTGTTTACAGTTGTTAACTCGATAACACTTGTTTCTATTGTGCGTTTACGCTGTTATTCACACCTCAAGTGCGATTTAATCAATATTATCATGGATACAAAAGCTTCGACGAACTTTTGGTGGATGAAAAACCCTTCTGCCGTTAGTCAGGACTCTGAGAATAACCTTGTGGTGCCTAAATTGGACCTGAGATCCCCTAGTTCCATCGTCGATTTACTTGAAAAAGACGGTAGTAGCAATGCAGGAGAAGATGTAGATGTAGGCAGCATAATAGATGAAATAAATAGGGTAGCTGCCCAGAGCCCTTTGGGGCCCTATGACAAAAATCAAGGCGAAAGAAGCATCGAGGATTTAATGAAAGAGGCTGAGCGTATTTATATGGAGAGCTCTAAAAGTTTTGAGCAGTTGAGTCAAAGAAGTAAAACTTCTCAGAATATCAGTGATTTGTTATCCAGCCTTTCTAAAGATTCTACACCTACTCCTAAGAGTATTAGTCCTCTGCCCATGGACCCTGATCCACAGCACAGTAATGACAGTGATGATTATACAGAAGATTTTTCTGAGGAATCTAAAATAGAGTCAAATCAATCTTCAAATGGCAAACATGAATCTGATTATGTAGATGACAAAGATAGTAGTGAATCATCAAATAGTCATATTAAGAGCTTGAAAGCCAATATACAAGTTAAAGATTCTTCTATGAGCATTTCTAAGTCTAAATCAGTTTCTTCCATGAGAGAGATTTTAAAAATAAAACCAAATATTATGATGATGAAAACCAGTATGTCTGTTTCTTCTATAAAACAGTCGCAAGATTCTGGTAATGTGATCCCTGAAAAAGATGAAGTTGCTTCCAATATATTCCCTGAAAAAGATTCTTCATCCACTGAGATACCTAATACAAATAACTATAAAGTAGTTCCAACAGTTCCTAAAGTTAAGGCAGATGATGAGAAATTGATAAAGTTAAGTGAAGTGATTGAGCTGAAAAACAACTTGATCAAGTCTTTGGAAGAAGATAATAGGAGCCTTAAGATGAATGTCCAAGAAGTCAGGGTAAGTCTATGTAGTATTTTAATATATATTGTACAACTATATAACTATAATTTCTGATTCTAATATGTTTACTTTAGGCTTATTTCTTATTTAGAGCAGCAAATTAATATTTTTCTAGTGGATGGCTCAGATATATAATTCTACTACTTTAAGTAAAATAGAAATGTCTGGAGGGAATAAAGCTGGGGGATGTATTAAGTAATCTTTTTTACAAAGCTTAATTCCCATTAATTTATTTTTATCTATTTTCTTTGTGATTTTTTATTCTGGATCAATGTCTCCTGAACTGGGTCACCAAAATTAATTAACTTGCTTTTGTTATTTTGTAGTAAAAAACTGCACTAGTAAAATGGAAACATTTATTTAAAAAAATATAATTTAATAAATATTTGTAATCTTAAATTAGGTATAAATATTTATTAGTGGACCTACAAGTCTCTTCAAATACATGCATTTTGAACACATTTTAGGCTTTTTGGGCCGCCTCTACTATCACACGTAGTGCAGCTAATGCTTCTTCTGCTGTGGGTTGGATGTAACTTGCTGGGAGCACAAATCCAAATCTGTAACATGAATCAAGATTTAGATATTTTTTGAAAGAATTCAAATGTACTATAGCAGAGGTGATTAAACTCACACAGTGCCTATAGTGAGTCACTATGGCAATGCATCTAGAATCTTGAAATAACACCTCTCATTAGACTCGCTTTTTTTGTGTCACCTGAGAAACTTGAATCTGAAGAGTTCCCCATTGTCTAGTTCATCAACTCACACATTTCTTTTTTTTAATTCTTGTTGTTTACGTCCAGCTTTTTTGAAATGAAATATCACTGAGGAAATCATGACTCTTCTATCCAAGAATACGCGCTGCGTTAGACCTGGGCGTTTTTTCACATTTATGTGAATTATTGAAGTTTCCAAGCTATTTCTCGTCGTTTTTCCCAACCAAGGGAATTTTTGTCTGACGGCACCCTCGAGTCCTGCTTTTGAAATTGTACAGAATGTTATGCTAAAGATATTTGAGGGGGGTGCTGCGCTAGAACTCTGCGTTTTATGTGAATTTTTGCAGCTTACAAGATATTTCTCGTCGTTTTTCCCAACCAAGAGTAGTTTTTTCAACGACATCCCCGGCTTCTGCTTTTGAAATTGTACTTAACATTATGCTGGAGATATCTAAAGCTCTGCTTTTGAAATTTCACAGAAAGATATTTGAGGGGGGCGCTGTGCTAGAACCCTGCCTTTTTTTTACTTTTGTGTGAATTTTTATACATTCGAAGGTACTTTTCGACATTTTCCCATCCAAGGATAGTTTTTTCTATTGGAAGAATTTCAAAAGCAGAACTCGGGAGGGGTTCTGCTTTTGATATTGTACCTAATATTATGCTAAAGATATTTGAAGGGGTGCTGCGTGAGAAATCTACGTTTTCTCACTTTTATGTGAATTTTTGTAGTTTCCAAGGTATTTCTTGTTGTTTTTCCCAACCGAGGGTAGTTTTTTCTAATGGTACCCTCAAATTCTGCTTATGAAATTTTAATGGGTATTATGCTAGAGGTATCTAAAGGGGGTTCTGTGCTAGAGCTCTGTGATTTAACAGTTTTGGTACTCCATACCGTGTGGAGAACTTTTGCTAAAAACTATTGTTATCTGTAGAAATATTCACTATCTTGAGAATCCATAACTCAGAACTCACGTTTTACGTAAAAGGGGTGCGGCGTGAAGTTAGCACCCCCAATTTTTTTTTTAATTTCCGCAAAGAAACTGCAGAACTATTGTCGCACCCCCTGAGAACTGTATAACTATTCAAAAGTAGTTCAGAACTCTGAAAATAATCAAGGGTGCTGCAAAAAGGAGTGCCAACTTCCGATCCAATGACATCGTTGCGTGGGGAGTGCAGAGTCAACCAACTTGACGCCATTTTTTACAATCGTTTTCGCATTTAGCGCTTCAAATTACCAAAGCGTATAAAGTTTAATTCGCTTGCAACAACGGGAGACGGAAATGGAAAATTTGCCCTACAATGCTTCAAAATTCAATCATAGTGACACCAAATTAAATCACTCACCTGCCGGTATCTCTGAGCTCAATTGTATATGAATACTTGAACCCTGCGACTCCTTTAGCCCAATCGTCGGACCCTCCGGCTGCAGGGTAGAGCGTCGATCCCGCTGGCCCCACTGTGTACCTCGGCCCCCCTGCGGCTGTTATGGCGGCTGCGGCGCGCCGCCCCACTGCCTCTAGGTCGCGGTGGTCTGTAGGCACGGCGTTCTCATAGCCCCACGGGTACAGGATGTATTGACCGTATGAGTGGAAGGAGACATAGGCTTTCCATGGCACTTTTGTACCTGTAATACGAAATACGGTAATAATAGCCCTGGATCCTATCTACAATCGGAATCACTGCTAATTGATGTAATATTGATGTCTTCCATGTTTTTGACAAAATTAGAATCTCTGTACAAAATTCTGTTTGATAAATTTCTTGACGACATAAATAAAATTGCAGAATGCTTATTCTTTAACAAACATCTCGCGCCCTCTACTGGGCAGTAGGACAACTACTTCTTTTACTCGGTGTTTGTTAAAGAATAAGCATTCTGTAGTTTTATTTATCTCTCCAAAGAATTTATTAAGCAGAATTTTGTACAGCAATAGTGACACACTATGTTTCGAGTAGGTCACAAATCCTTTTTGACTGATAGAATCTGTGTCAACTTTGTCCTCATCTGTTGTGTATCGTTATGGACGACCTCCTGGAGGCCCTGACCGAATCCGGCTTCTACGCGCAGACGAATGAACTTGTTTCTTACAAGTTTTACGCGGGTTCTGTGAGAGAATGCATGCAGCCTGCAATATCCTATCAAAATGGTGCGTGAAGTCAGTG